TTTATTGTCTATTACATCATCTATGTCATTGATGTAAACCAAAAAGAGCAAAGGTCCTAAGACTGAGCCCTGAGGTACCCCACTTGTGACATTAATCCAGTTTGACTGAACTCCATTTGTTACAACTCTCTGCTTTCTTCCATCCGGCCACTCTTCTATCAATTTTCTAACTTATCCACCACATCTATAGAGATAATTTTTTTTTTTTTATAAGCCTTTTATGTGGCACCTTGTCAAATGCTTTCAGAACATCCAGATACACCAAATCTACACTCCTCCTACCCTCATCTACATAAGCAGTAACCTTTTCAAAGAATGTCAAAAGAATCGTAAGGCAAGATTTTCCTTTAGTGAAACCATGTTGACTGTCCAATAAAATTCTGAACTTTGGTAAATGACTTTGCAAAGCATCTTTTAACAGACTTTCCAAAATCTTTCCCACAACTGATGTAACACTAATGGGTCTATAATTACTGGGACAATTTTTATCACCTCCCTTTAAAAGTAGAGTTACATTAGTTAAATTCTAATCCTCTGGTACCTGCCCACTATTCAAGGACTGACAAAAAAAATTAGTAGCAAGTGGCTCGCATACCCAATCTTTAACCTCCTTCAAAACCCTTGGAGAAATATTACCTGGCCCAGTAGCCTTATCATTCTTTAAACTTCCCAATTTTTCTTAACCAGCTCAAATGTAATGCAGTTACCTTGTTCAATCTTGTTTCCATTTATCAACTGATCAAGATGTGGAATACTGTTTAAATCTTCATTAATAAAAACTGAAGAAAAAGTAAAATTTGATAACCCAGCCATCTCGTAATCATTAGATATTAGCCTTTCATTATCATCCCTCAAGGGTCCTATCCCTATTCTAACATTTCGTTTTCCCTTAATGTATTTAAAGAAATCCTTACTGTTAATTTTTACATTTTCAGCCAACCTTTTTCTCATACATCCTTTTTGATGTTCTAATTTCCGGTTTCACCAATATTCTTGATCTTCTATAATCTTCTAAGTCTCCTATCATACCACTCAATTTAAATTTCTTAAAGTTATGATGCTGTTCTTTGATTTTATTTCTTAAACTCATTGTGAGCCAACCTGTTTTTTTACTTGTAGCTACCTTAGTGGAACTCTATATTTAAACCTGTGTATAAGATAATGGGTGGTGGTTTTAAGAGTAAAAAGTATCACCTTATTCGCCAGCAAGTATGGTAGACATGTTGCTCATCCTCATTGAATCAAGTAATTCTAGCTTCCCTTATGCAATATTTTCCTAAGTGGTTATGTTAACTGAGTACAGAATCATTCTCTGTATGGTTTATGTTGTTTTAAAATGATGAAGCTGTCATTTTTTTTCTTATCATTTTCTTCTAAGGGATGATTTGTCATATTTTAATGTTTTTGCATAAGCTTGTGCATAAATGTTCTTAGTACCAATCAAAGGAGTTTGTGTAACTAAGTTTACAAGTATTTAAATCAAAGTAGCTTTTGACAGGAATTAATAACAAATACAAGATAACTGTAATTATTATTAACATAGGAAAGAGCAAGGAATAAATTAAGTTACAGTAGAAGGCTCATCACATGATTCAAGAATAAAAATGGTTTAACTTACTGTAATACCAAATTATTTTTAAGTGTTTTCATATAGAACTAGCTCTTGGAGATTATGCTGTTTTTAATAGCTCTCTGTGTGTGTTATTCTATATCTGTCAATCATAAGGTTATGGTGATCCCTTTTTTATTTGTCATAAATTTAATAATTTTATTGTTGGTTGCACAAAAGTATTTACATACTTGATTTAAATACTTTATCACATTTTGGATATTGAAGGTTAAAATTCAAACTAATAAAAGTCCTTTTTTTAATTTAATATAAAATTTACTTTTACAGTTGAAATAGCTTCATAGACCAAAGTAATTATATGACAGTTTGTTGAATATATTTTGTTCTTCATTTATTCTAGCACAGTATAAATTATTAACTATAACATCAATAATAGCCAATTGTAGTACTTTTTTACACTATTAAATGTGAAGTTGTAATGTGTCAGCTTTCTGCTTGGTGTTAATGTGTTGCACAATTGGGAAAAGCCAGTTACTTTCTATACAGAGGCCTGATTTAAGTTTGTTGACAAATGCATAATAAATTTGTAATCTATTTCAATACTTAACAAAAAGTAATTGATGGAAGCAAAATTAACCATATTAGTGTAGTAAATATCCCGACTTAAAAAATCTTAAGCTTTAAATCAAATTTTCAGCAGTAAATCATTAAAAATTTGAAACAAATAATAATGTAACTCAAGCTGTTAATATAGTAATGATAAACCAGTAAGTTTCATAGAAGTGATGCATGGTTTGTTGATGTGAAAGGAAAGTCCATTACATAAAGCTAGTAACATGAATCCAATCCTTAATTTTCTTTTCATGAACAAAACTTCCTCTAGATCATATCACCTAAAGATTATCATCAAAAATAAAGTTTCTGAATATATCTTAAAAGTTACAAGTATGATAGTTTAAGAAAACTAATTTTGTTCTATTTAAAGTAAAATATGATTTACTCATTTTGTATTTATTCGTGGGATATTCTTTCATTCCTATTTGTTTTTCATTACAAAATATACTTGAACCCTAAGAAATATTATACCATATTTTCCTAGAATGTATTGGAATAATTTAAAAACTGGTGGATTTTTAAATTTGTTTTATAGTTTTGCCAAAGTTTGAAGTCAAAATAACTCCTCCTTCATACCTACTGACCAATGCTGACTCAATCACATGGAAAATATGTGCCCAGTAAGTAGAACTGTTTCTGTCTACATTCAACATTTTAAATATAATGCTACAAAATTTCTTTAGTTGATTACATATATTTATACTGAAGTTTGTATTGTATAAATCTCCAAAATTTTGAATGCTAGTGAAAGGTCTATTAAGGCAAAAAACAAAATGAAAACTAATTGATCCCTAAGTATATATGGAGCAATTTTATTTTTCATATTTTTCTTTCTAGATTATTTTCAATAAAAAGTTATGTACATTATAAATGACCTTTGAGAACTATAAACAAGACACCAAATATTTTAGGAAATTTAAATAAAAAGTTTGTTTGTTTGTTTTTTGAATTTTGCGCAAAGCTACGCAAGGGCTATCTGCGCTAGCCGTCCCTAATTTGGCAGTGTAAGACTAGAGGGAAGGCAGCTAGTCATCACCACCCACCGCCAACTCTTGTGCTACTCTTTTACCAACGAATAGTGGGATTGACCGTCACATTATAACGCCCCCACGGCTGAAAGGGCGAGCATGTTTGGTGGGACGAGGATTCGAACCCGCGACCCACCCTCAGATTGCGAGTCGAGTGCCTTAACCACCTGGCCATGCCGGGCCAAATAAAAAGTCTTGGGAATATCACAAGTAGCTATAATCAATGGACAAGTTATATATTGTTACGCCAGCAGAAGTCACTTGCCACTGCTGGCACAAGCGTGTCTGAGTTTCTCAAATTATCAGGGAACTCCTTGAATGATCGAGATGCGTCTTTGTTTGTATATAAGCCTGGCAGAGAAAGCCAGCGGGAATGAATGAATGTATGATAAAGCGAACATTAGTCACAGTGAGTTTCGAGTAATTTACGATTCTGTTTCGAGTTAGTGTGTGTTTTGCACTCGTAGAGAGAAAAGTATCGAGATCGTGAATCACTGTGGTTTATAGCATGTATCAAAAAAGTTGTTAAATTTAAAGTGACGAGAAACGTACTGACTGGGGAATTACCATGTACTAAAAGTTTGTATCGAGGAAGAATAAAGTGTGGCTTAATGAAGAAAGGACTTGTATCGCT